TTAGGAACAGAAACCTAAGGATAGCCCTTCTTGTTATTACTTTAATAAATAGCTTTTGACTATAAACTGTATTGATATTCACCCTCTAGGGTAATTCTTACAGGCAAGGTTTATCTCCTCTTAGTAAAATAATGTAAAGTTATTAGTATTGCATTACTTTTCCCAAACTGCCTTAGAGAAGAGTATAGTTTTTTGACAACATCTAACAGAAGCTATACTTTCCTCTTGGACACTGTATATACCCGTAAGGGATTCCCTATGTTGTGTTGTCATTATAGTATAAAAATTAAGAAGGCTTTTATCTATAACAATAACAATAAGGTCCATCTTTTAACTATGTTAAAAATGAAGTTCTTTTTATTCCATTTGGATATAATTCAAAATTTTTTTGTTATAGTATTTCTTTTTGGTCTTTGAGATATTTCAATAGTAATCCATATTTGTCTACTTTGTAAGAACTTAGATTTACTATATTTTTATTAAAAAAAAAACATTCAAACTGTTTTTCACTTTCTTCACTAATGCAAACTCTTGTAATTATAGGTTTGTTATACATTAAACTTTCTAGACTGTTAATATTACAATAAGTTCAAGCTTTAGTAATTATTTTAAAAGAAATCTATTAAATAATAGGAAGTACATAAATATGTAATTTTAATACATGGGCTAATTTGATTTAACTTCAAAATTATCTAATCATGTCAAACAAAATTTTGTTTAACAAAGTGAATTTTTAGAAGAACTGTCTTTTTAACTTATTTTAGACCTAAAATTAAATATATAAAAAATAACATATTTAATTGTGGGTCAAAAGTAAATTTAAAAAGTCATTTTTTTAAATTTTCTAAATTCATTCTTGACATTATTTAACTAATCATTTAAGTATATTAAATACTTGAATATCTTAACAATAAGTAATCACTCTTCTTTTTACAGCTTAATATAGCTGTTGCATTTATTTTATATGCTTTTTATTGCTTATAGATACTAGAAAACTCTTATTAAATATGATATGCTTTTGTTTGTTACTTTTTAACATCAACTAAAAGTTAAACTTCTATATAATATTTATTTAAAAGTGACTAAAAACCAAATTAGCTGATATAAATATAAGCTAATTTTATACTTTGAAATTTTTCTAAAGTTCTTTATAACTAAATTCATTAGTGATTATTAAAAGAATTCGAATTTTTCCATCCATTCTATTTTTATTATTATTTAGAGATTTTTGAAAACATTTCCAAAATCTATTACTAATATTAATTATATAATTGGATATAGTATGAATAAATCTACTATTATGTAAAAGTTGCAAGGTATTTTGATCTATATTTGGTGTAAAGCTTTGTGACCAAAATTTATACTAAAATATAATAAAAATTTTTTAGTTTATTTTTATATTTTATTATATAAAAGTGACTTTCAATAAGAAGCTCTCGATATAAGAAAACTTTTGATTTAAAGAACTTACAATTAAAGTGCTAATAAAATTAATCTTAAGTGGTAAAATAATTTCACTATTCCGCTAATCGGTATTGATAAAATAGTAAAATTGGTGAAATGATAAAAATAGCAGATGTGAAATTAATTTTACTAATTTTACAATTTCACTATTTCTAATTTTACAATTTCATTATTTTTATTTCTTATTTATTAATTTCATTAATTTCACAAATTCAATAATATTTTGATTGCAATTTGACTAATTGGATTGATAAATAAGAATATCAGCATTTAATTTGAATTATTAAATTAATACAAATTAGTCAGATTGTGATCAAAGTACTAAGAAATATTTTACTAGTTCTAATTGAAAATTTTTAACAAAAGCTTTCAATATAAGAAAGATTTTGTTTGGACCCAGTGGTTTTCTTATATCAAGAGTTACTTGTATTATGAATTTACTTCTGATTAGTCTTTTTTAAAGAGTGAAATGTTTGTATATTCACTCACTTTTAGTATAGTTCTCCAAGTATATAATTCACATTCACTAAGCACATATTGAGTTAGATATAATTGTTGTAATTTTTTATGCAATTTAATAATTAGGCTTTACTAAGTTAGTCATTTATGGAAAAAGTTTTGCTAGTTTATATTTGAAATTGTTTTTTTCGCAAATAATAATTATATATATTATTCATTACAATTTCATTATTTCATGCAATTGCAATACAAGTTGGTGTATATTGATTACTAATAATTTTTTGAGTTAATAAATGTTCAAGTCCAAATAATTGTGTTCTACAAAATTTTTTATATAAGCTAACATTTTTCCAAATATCATTTGGTGTTTTTCCTAAAAATAAAATTGGGTTATTTTCTAATAAGTAAATTGCAACTTAACAATTATCTTTTTCAATTATTTGTAAAATAATGCATGTTTTTTTTTAAATTCACCAAAAAAAATGACATAAATCCGATACCAGCTCTTATCATATTTATATCATTTTCAATTTCTAAACTAGTTACATAAACTAAATATTTTTTGACTTTAAAAGCAAATAGACAAAATTGAATACTTTTTAAAGATAATTCTAATAACTTATCTTCATTGTATCCTAATATATATAGACCAAAAAATTTAGTTTTTGAACTTGAAAAAAGTTTTTGATACAAGCTTGTAACTGCTAAACTTGAAGTTATTTTGATATTACTATAATTACTACCAGTTTGATATTGATACTTTGGTTCTATTTTATTATGTTCATGCCCTTCTATAATATGTATATAAAAACATTTATTATTTTGCTCAAAAAGAGTTTGCCAACCAATTTGAATAGGATAAAAAAAAACATACTCTTTAATTAAACTATTATTTTTCACTCTTTATCAATAATGAGAATTAGTACTATAATATAAACTTGGTATTATTTGACCAAAAGAAATAAGTTTTACACTTAAATAATGTCTTTTAGACATATTTTAAGTTCAACAAGATTCTAGTTAGAGATTCTAAATATATATAAATTTTTATATGTTAATTATCCCGAATTATTCTTATAAAATTGATATATAAATCTTTTCATTTCTGATGAATTACAAATTAAATATTAAAAGTTTTTAATTTATAGTTAGGATTTAACTTATTTAATGAATTCTTTTTTTTTATAATTGAATATATATTTAAATAATTAATAAATATATGAATGTGATGACCTAGTGAAGTAGTCAGGTTGTCAATCTCCCAAGTGGTAAGTTGGGTGTTCAAATCCCATCGACAGCGAAAATTTGAATAATCATCTATGTAATATTCATATTATGGCAACTGTTACTAATGATTGGGTTAGGATACCTGTTATAGTAGTCACACTAGCATAACTGGCAAGTCATAGAGCATCTGTGTAAATATGGCATTATACAAAGAAATGCAAACTGACAAATTAGGTAGTGCAAACACTAGATAAGTCCTTGTAGCTATGTAAATCTATTGAAATTGGGTAACAAGAAGTTTATTTGGAAAGATCTGAGTAGAGAGATAGCTAGATCTTCAATAGCTCTACTGTAAAGACTAGCTTGGAAAAACAGATACCAAGGTTATAGTACCCAGTTATAGTAGCCAAACAGGCAAGAACCTCTGGGTTGGAAATCTTGGGAGTACCACCAACCAGGCTGTCAGAACAAACTAAAGAAAAAAAATATTGGGCTAACTTAATATACTGATAGACTGGTTGTAGTCCTATACAGCTTGATCCAAATATATGAAATATTGTAAAAAAGAA